GCGTTTGGCTGTCTGCCAGGTTAAACCACACCACCTACTAAACTCAAATGACAGAATGGTGTAATAGCAGAACTGGACAAAGTCCGTGGCAAAAGCTTCCACTTCTCTTTCAAAAAACTTGACTAAAAAAGGCAGAACTCCACTGAAATGGCGCAAGACATCCAAGATGAATTTTCATTGACAAACTTATAACATTTTTTAGGGATGAGAAATCCAAGAGAGTAAAACTTTTACTAAAACTGCAAGTCCAGGTACAGAACCTGTTTTTCAGATCACATTATTCTTTGTGCAATTTTTGTATTTTTTTTAAATGTTTATTCCACTAGAGCCTGCAACAATTCAACTCTGCTGAGATTGTACACTGTGCAACACTTAACCACGCTGTTTCAACTTACATCTGGAGATTGTATGGTATTCCAATTATTTCAAAACGTTCAATTTCAAAATCCACTCCAATGGTTGCCTTGTAGTCTCGGTCAAAATTATCTTTACAAAATCTGCAATAAAAAAAAGGAACGAAATACTAGTAACTCCCAGCTACAAATAACTACAAAACTAACACTATCTAGGGTAAATTATGAAGAAAAGAATTAACTAACTGTGGAATGGCTATATATTGCAGAAGCATACATAAAAACACCGAGAAACTAATTAAAAAAAAAGGAGATACTGGATAACAAACTAGAAATCATATACATCTAATAAGCTCTCAGGATGAGATGAGAATCAGAATAAAATATCTTTGGACTGTCAGGGAAGACACAGTATCTTATAGTTTTAGTTACAAGGGAATGCCTTTTGGGTCATAAATAATGACCCAAATGATTAATCAATGAGATTAAAAACTTTTCGTATCTTCTTAAGAACATGGAAGAAATAATAATAATAAAACGCAAACGTAGACAGAAAGCTGTCACGGTGATCATAAGCTAAAATTCAGTGATCTGTTCACTGGAATAGATACAAAAAGCATAAGAGCTGTTTTTAACATCTGGTAAAGAATCAAATAACTATTCTTTAAGGCGTTCTGCATTTTATCTGTCTTATTCTATAAGCTACGGAAATACTCGAGCCTCCTCTACAGTCTTGCAGCTGTAGAAATGAGTACAGGTACCCACACAAGGATGACTTTAAAATGTTTCAGTGAACAACCCTACAAGTAAGGAGAAAACATGAAACCAAGACTCACACTGGAAAGATTTTTTTTTTTTTTTACCTTCTGATTGTTTAGCCTTTAGACTGGATTTCTGAAGGAAACACTGTATCATATTTGACTGGATAAAAATAGTTCAGAATATAAGATAAACTGATTGAAGTGTGTTGGTATATCAAGCCTGTCTCATACTGTAGACTTTGTTTTGTCTTTTATTCAATAACAAAACCATGGTTCAAAACAGAACCATGAAGTACTACCCTGAATGGACAGGAATGGAAACATTATAACATTTATTTGAGAAAGAGCAGAATCAGAATGCTGAGCTATACTGTACCTGTTGATAAGGCTGGTTTTCCCAACATACAGGTCTCCTACCACAACCACTTTGGATATTTTCAGCCTGTTACAAATATTTGAAAACATTACATGTTTTTAGTAGCAATTTCAACATTCTCTCTCTAAAAATTCTGATTTAGATGCTTAAATTGCAAGTGATGAGCACATGTACCTGTGACTCCAGTTTACCTAAATGCTGCTGTGCTGCAGGATCAAAGTCTTAAATTGTAAGAAAGAAAAAGAAGGTCACAAAAAAAAAAAACCCTCTGGAGCAGAAATAGTTAATTTCTTACTCTGCATATTTTTTTCTTAAATATAATCCAGTGGGACATAAATTCTATTCTATTAAAATTGCTTTGACTACAAGTATATACATTCAGCAGTTTGCACATAAGACCATAAGAGTATCTGCATCCTTTTCATTAAAATTAATCACAAGTTTCTCATTGACTTTAATAGTACAAATCAAGTCCTAAGTGCAGAAACAAGAAATTGCTCATAATAAAATAGCCCACTGCAGAATTTGTCTCTGGGGAAAAAACCCAACATGGTTAGAGCCAATACGTTTTCTGACTATCTGGAATAATATTAATCTGAAGCTGGCTTCATGCAAATAATCCTCTTTGCTCTGAGTCCTCCCACAGAATACAGCAGATGGGCTTTAGGTGACTCAGCCTGCATTCTTAAAATTGAAATGTAGTGTATCTTTTAGGAGATACAGGTGGATAAGTGAATGTAAGTGTATTTGTTACGTAAACTTGGATTGACATCTCCCGTGCACATGCTACAAAAATGGCTTAAGAGGTTTAACGTTTTTTTGTATCAAGGAATGGCTTTTTAAACAAAGGAATTAATCTTCTATTGAGTACTATTTCTGGTTATATCAGGCTTCCATGTGATGCTGATTCCAAGTTATCTATTCTAAATAGTCCAAATCTTGACTGGTAATCTGCATGAGTAACATTTCAGAAAAAGGAAGGCATTCTGTGTGCCAGTCAACACTAATTGGGTGGCCACAGGCCCCTAAGCTGCTGACATGTCTCTGCCTGATTAACTGTTACTGATAAAATACTGAATAAAATCAACAACCTTAAGGGAAAAGCTTTTTTTACTTTTTTGTAAGTGATGGCTTAGAGGTGTGTGTTCCATTAATTCATATTGGGGGAAAAAAACTCCCTAGATTAGACAATTTAACACATTGATGGAATATCAAGAGATTCTTAAATACAGCCATTAGCTACTGAATTTCTCAAACTACCTTTCCAAATGACAAAGAAATATTCCATTTCTTGGGATAATGGAAAAGGAAGATAATGATTATCCCTGTCAAGTTTTACAATTACTGTACAAAACATTCAATTGCCTGTCCCTCCTACCCCCACCCCACCAAAAAATGACCTAATAGTAATCATATCTAGAGAGCAGTGACAGGAAAGTGGTTTAATTTTATTCACAAAGCCAAAATGTAAAGCTTTTTAGCTATACTCTGTTACCAGAATAAATGAACTGGAGAGTTGGTTTACTCTGGAAATAAAAAACAAATAGATCTTGGTTACAGAGGGGAAAAAGTGCCTCAATTCACTAAAGCATATCTGCTAGCAAGATTGTCCCGACACTTGTAACAAATTTACATGAAACTAAGACACTGACTGTGCTTCTAAAAAGCAATAAACTCACTGATATCTCTCAGGGAGACATATTTTGGCTTCAAATTTTTTTAGCAAGACTCCCTAGTGAAATGAAGTTTCATTTAAAGGTGGATATCATGATAAGTCTCATAGTAATCAAAAACTCTAGATTTGAAAGAATAGTGAGCTAATTGTCAATATTCATAGAAGCTCCACTTTATGAAAGACCCTTCACAGTGGAACACAGAAGCATGTATCACTAAAGCATACAGGTATTTATATTAACTGAATAGTGATGATTTCTAACACAGTTTAGCTTTCTTGCCTTGCTTCAAGAATTAAATCAGTACAGGTAACAGTTCTGAGAAAAGAGATGGTGTGAAAAAAACACTTAAAGAATATTACAAGGGCATAGAATAGTTTATTTTGATTTTTCAGTGCTATATATTTACCAGAATTTTGCTCCAGTTTTGAGAAAACATTTAAGACAACTTCTCAGCATGTATACTTCTAAAAGACTAAAGCTAGGTTCTCATGTGTTTCAAGCAACTTAGAACTGCTGTACGTTTATAGCCCCCCAAAGCCTTTATTGACTGCTCACTTGGGACACTAAGAGAGAATACAGCAAGGCTAGATCTGCCCTATTCTTTATAACTGCTCTAGAATTTGGTTGCCATACTGACTTGCATGTGCAAAATTCAACACTGATTTTAAATAGTCAATTAATCTTTTGAACTAAGGGTTTAGTTCAAAGTTGCTAAACAACTATTTGTTGCTAAACAAATATTTTTCAACACTACTTATGCCAGCAGAAAAAGTATCTTTGACACTTATGGGAAGAAGAGGCACTTTATTCATTTACTGTCAAGCAGGTCAAAGAACTGGCACGTACATGGGCTTAGCTCCCTTGAAACATATTGGAGTGAGGAAGACTAAGAATGAGGGAGGAAAAGCCTATAAAGGAAGCAGGTTATAAAGAGCTTAAAATACTTTCTTCATTGCATACTTGGTTTATTACAAACTTACCCAACTGTTCCAGTGCTCTGCTGACAAGCAGTCCTGACCTCCCCATGGAAGTGCTCTTTGAGCTGCAGACAGGCCTCAGGTGTGTACCACTGAAAATAGGAGAGAACAGCTACTGGGATAAATTGTCTGATGTCTACTTTGCAAGAAGTCAAATCACCAAGGCAAAAGTAGGTAAGAAGATTAATTCAAAGAGTTTGTCAAGCACAGGGATACCGTGGCAAAAGGAAAGGGATAGCTTCAGTTAGAAGGCAGTAAGACTTCCCCACAGTTAGGTTTGTAAAAACTCCTTTGGACAGCGCCATGATTTGACCACCTTTCCGAGTGTCAGCATCCGAGCACTAGCTAAACTTCGACAGTCAAATACATTTGCTCATCATTCTGTACAATAGCAAGTACCTTAAATTATTCCAGTAATCTAAGACACAGAATACAAACACAGATGGGAGCATACTATCAGCAAGTCATTATTACTACAAAGTCTTTTAGATCTCTTATATGTATGAAGCACTGTTTTGTTACTAGTTTTTAATTAGGCATTAGTTAAAAATGAGGAAAATGTATTTTACCTTATATTTGCTTAAAATAACTGCGGTAGTTTTCATAAAATTAAAAGCAAAATATTTGGCTGAGATCAAGCAAGGAAAAAATGCTAACTCCCTTAAAAGGATTTTTTGAACAACTGAAAAAACAGAATGGTAATTCCTTATCCTTCCCTGTGTTTAACTCTTCTATTATACTTCAAGTACAAAACTCTTTGGGGACATGAACGATCTTTTCTGTCTGTGTTTCTACAGTGCCTACTACATTTGATCTACTGTATGACTAAGGTTCCTATACAAACAGAAAATGAAAATTGCCTCAAATTCTTCAACCAAAACCTCTATATAGATCTAATTAGACTTTCTGCATATTTAATATCAGCTATGGTTCTTATTTACCCTTGGTGTAGGAACTCTTTAAGCATGTAATTATTAATGTTTGGCTGAAATAACAAGATAGATATTATAACCCTTTTGTGGCAAGAGTCACTTTCTGTAAAGGTTAAAAGAAGAAATGAGGATTATTATTAAAGATATCAGCAATCAATGGGAACATGAGGTCACATTCATCTTTAAAAGAAATCCTTAAACAATTTGTAATTTTAGCAGAAGACAACAACTGTACATTAAATTAAAATACTATTAGCACAAGGGAAAGATACCTCAATGTGGCAGGTGCTATGTACCGTGACCAGAGGGATAAAGAATGCCTACCTTGGGAAACTGGGAGATTATTCTGTCCCTACTCACTGGGGGAACCAAATGCATTAGGTTGGACTTCATCCTCCAAATTCAATTAAATTCTACCAGACAGGAAATATGTGAAGAGAAACACAGTATTCAGGAATTGCTTCAATACAGCGAAAACATAATAAAAAAAAACATCAACAGTTCTTATAGACTCATCATCTTCTTTCCTTTCAGTACAACTGGCAGTTCTTTGACTTTATTTGCGTTAAAGAAAACCTGTTTCTTACGTAAAAGGGACCACTTCAGTACACACAGCTGTAGTAGCAAACAGTGGCTTTCTGAAACTACAAGACACCAACTCTAATACTATGGGAGGACAGAGAATTGTTCACTTAATTCAACATAAGTGCTTGCAGTTTAGCCCTCAAAGGATTTTGCAGTGTTTAATTTAAAAATCTTGCTCATCATCGTTTGAAATGCCTCTGCACTAAGCACATTAATAAACATTAGGGGATACCAGATTTCATTCGGTCAGAAGAAGAAAGGAGGAAAGATGAAGCTGTCATATTTCAACATCAAAGATCAGCTCAGAAAGAGCAAAATCAGTAGATAGTCTGACTTGGAAAAAGAATAATGTTCACATGAAAATCACAAATGCACTTAGATATCCCACTTGAGACATATCAATTTGGTTATGCAATGAAACCTCGTGGGTTAGGGGGAGGGGACCCTTAATAGGGTACCAATTTCTTACTGGCATTCAAAAGAATGTTTCTAATACGAACATTCATCATATAGCAAAGTGTAAGGAAGGACTTACCGTGCAGCAGCTGATGCAGCAGGATCCCAGCCACACGAACAGCTCAGCCTGCTGCTGCGTGGCCATAGCAACAGGCTTGCAACATTTCCCTTCCTCCCCTTCTCTTTCAGACTGGGAAGGCGGAGTTGGAGTAATTCAACTATACGTAGGGCCCTCGTTTTAAAAGAACAAACTGGTTTTAGTGGCCATACAGATTCCTTTGATCAGAAACTGCTCCTTAATAAACCCAGTGGTCCCCTAATCCTGTGTAAGAAAACAGTTCCGTTTTCTTCCAACACAGTTTGTATATATGGATACAAAGAACAGGGTTAACCCGGCAGACAAGGAACTAATGGAGTAGGGAACTGTTACAGTGCTAATATTAAGCATAGTACCAATTATAAAGAAACTCCTGAGGGATTTTTTCAGAATTTCAACTTGATTTCATCTCAGCTTTAGAGTCAGGATGTGCATGCCACCAATGAGACATTCTGAATTACATAAATGTCTTTCCAGTCATTAGTAATCTTGCTTTCTAATGTACCAAACACTAAAGACAAGGAATAAGAAATCACACAGCTTTTGAATTGTTAATCAACTCATTAGTTTATATAGCATTTAGTATCCTAGACTGTAAGTTAGGATGCTAAAAGATTTTGTTATTTATTTCATTAGGATTTAAATTTCCAAATTTCAGGACAGAAGAAAGCTCTCACATTCTAACAGACATATTTTGATAATGCTGGAACAGGCTTGGACCTGGCAAGGTCCAAGTGTTCAAGGGCAAATCAATGTGGACAAGTAATTTTAAACAACGAGTAAGTATATAACAAAAAAACTACAGTTGTGTTTTACAACCCCACGCTAAGAATAATGCTTAACAAAATTGCTAGTCCACTACTTGGAATTAATGTTTTATTCTCTTTTGTGAGGAATTGCTTTTAAATCACTTCAGGCACTCATGTGATCTCAATCATACTGAAACACCCACTTCCCCCCAAAGAATCCAGATTTGTAGCTGATGGGTTATTCACCAAAGAAGGTGACATACAGTATTTCTTTATTACCATATGCATAGTTCTATTTATCATGCTACTTATGACCCTATAAAGCTAGAAAGATCTAGACCCTTTTTATGGTGTGTTCCTGCCCTTTTAGTAAGTTTGAATGATTTTATAGCAATGTTAGTGTCTTAAAATAATAGTTCTGAAAACAAAAAGGAAAACCTTTCCAGTTGGTAAGAGTTTCAAACATTAATGTGCTTTCTCCATATTCTCCTAGTTGTAGTTCAACACATCCAAAGCACGTAAAAATGTCATGTATACATAGGCTGACTCACTGCTCGTCTGCTAGAGCCCTTTTACTAACTAAGCTACAAAAAAATCAATTCAACAATCTCAGTGAATCCAGGGAGGACTGGGAATATAATGTCTCCATGGCATCACAACCCTCCTTACATCAATGTGGCAGAAGCAGTATAACCAGCAGATTCTGTGGATAGACAAAGGATTTGAGGAAGGCATTGAGAAGCTCTACATAAAATAAGTTAACGTCATGACCACTAACCAAAAATCAGTATTCCCAGCTACAGTGAAGGACAAGACAAAACAACTCACACCAAAAGGATGAGAGCAGAGTTAACACTGAAGGACAAGAGAAGTCTCTGATCTTCTCCTGCTCCTTCTACATTGAGAAAAGTTCATGTTCTTGCTGTTGAAATAGGGTGAAACTTTACAAATATATAGTTAGTGGAAGTCTAATCTAATTCAGGAAAATAGCTTCTACTTTAAATAATCTGCTCTACAATGTTGCAGAAAAATGAATCCTTTCCAGAAAATACCTTTTTAAATAGTAATTTTTCTTTTATAGATTTTGAAGATCAATGAACCAGAATTTATTCCTGTGTTTTATTTTAATCCGGCTGATATGACTTCAGCTCTGTAAAATCCAGTTTAAGAACTTTTATTATTGTACTTGTTACTCAAACATAATGAAAAACATCTCAACAACTTCTCTATTTGCACAGAGAACTAACCTTTTATAGCACAAGCTGTTGAGAGTTTTTTTTCCTGATGCCAGATCGCATCTGACAATCCAGAGCACCCTTAAGCTGTGCTAGCAACATTGCAATGATACATTCTCCCTGTGTACCATCCTCTGAACACTATACTTTTTAAAAGGATCATACTGAAAAAGATGGGTAAGTCTTGAATACAGTTATGTGAAACTACCTAAAGATAATGGTGTCCTGGTTCTGACTGGGACAGAGTTAACTTTCTTCCCAGTAGCTCGGGGGGTGCGCTGTTTTTTGGGTTTGGTATGAGAGGAGCGTTGATGGCCCATTGATGCTTTGGTTGTTGCTGGGTGGTGCTTGCACCGGGGACTTTTTTTTTTTTCCCGTTTCTGCCTCCCATGCCCTGCCACGTGCAGGGGAAACTGGGGCAGGGGTGAGCACAGCCGGGGTGGTTGACCCAGCTGGCCAATGGGGTATTTTATACCATGTGACATCATGCTCAGTATAAAAAACGGCGGGGGGGGGGACCCGGGCCCCGCCCCCCCGCGCGTGA